GGTTTCCTATACCTATCTGGCTCAGATTTTGAATAAAAAGCGATTCTTCAATAAAATTGTAATCAAGATGGCTAGTGTTGTCATGGCATATTTCTAGTGACTAGTGTTAAATTTATACCAGTTCATTTTTATTTAATTTACCTACAATAGTTTAATAAATAATATTTATTAAATATGTGTTTATTATTCTATCAAAAAAACAAAGAAGTAGTATTTGCATTATTTTACGATGACTTGTAGATACATGGATTTTCTATAAAAGAGCCAATTACGGCAAATTCATTTTCTTCACTTCCAACGACAGGTTTCTGCCTAATAGTTTTTTTTTTATAAACCACACTACCAGACGAAATAGGATAAGAAGTTTTTCAAAGAAACTCTTATCAGGAAGATTCCTATTGGGATATCTTTGAGCATAAGCCCTTGAGGCCAAGAAGCAATTTTCCTCACAAAATATTATCACTAGTAACATATCTATTCGTTCCGCCAGCAGATATTTCTTTATTTTTCGTGATAAAATAATGAATACTTACTTATAAAACTAGTGTAGGTAAATTTAAGTAAACTGTTATAAATTATAAATAATAATGTCCATAAACTAATGTCGACTTTGAAAATAGTTACCAGCCATCTTGATTACAATTTTATTTAAAAATCGCTTTTTATTCAAAATCTGAGCTAGATAGATATAGGAAACCCTAATATAGTTTGAAAGAGCATTTGAATCTGCTTTGATTTATTTAAAAAAATACAGGGTGTTACATCTGAAATAACAAAGTTTTTATATAAAATATATCCTTAAAATAGATCAGCAACTTTTGATAGCCCTGTATAAATTTAAGGAACCAATACCATTTTTCAGTAAAGTTTATTTCTCTACCTTTAAACTCAGCATAAGAATTAATTATGAACAGTAATGTACAGGGTGTTAATAGTCTATTCTATTTTGGCATATAAATTTAAATATCTTTAAATATCTCAAAAACCAAATATTTTAAACATATTTAACCCTTATAATAAATGCCTTTTTTTGGGCCCAAGAATCCAAAAATGAAATAAAATACCGGGTGTTCCATAAGAAAAAATATAACTTTGGTATGGATCTTAGTTCTGAAACACCCTGTATATTTCAAAATAATTTTAAATTGTGTACGTTGTCTCCCCACATATATCCTTAAAATATTTTGTTCCTACATCTTTCCGTTTTCGTATAATCAACCGAGGCGAATGAGGTGCACCACCCTGTATATAACGAAGAAATTTTTGGTCAAATTTAAAGTGTTATATTTTTGTTATTTTTAGCCTTATTTTCATGAATTCTTTAGCAAGCTGTATAATTATATCAACTTTAATTCGTAAACTCGTTTTTACAAACTTTAGTATTTGGCATGTTACAAGGGTTAATCGAGGGGTTGTTTTTTTACCCTCGCTTTAAAATACCCTGTGTAATAGTTTCGTGTGTCAAGTTCCCTAAAGTATAACGGTCAGAACCATGACTCCAGAGCATTTTGATTTTTGTTTCATGTCAATACATGCTTTGGTAAATTTTTAAGAGCGAAATGAACTGATCACGATCAATTTGCATTTTTTTCAATTATCATTACTCTTTGATGTAATTTTTTAATATGACAAGACGGTTTTGGTGACCATTGTCGTAACGTCATAATACGTTCCATTAGAGCAGCCAAGAGAGGCAATAAAAAGTATTAGAGTATCTTTTACGTTTTTTTTTTCTGTTTGTATCCTTGAGTATTACAGATGTTTTCTTTAATATCGTTAGTTCTGTTAGCCTTATTAATGTTTATTTAAACTCGGGCTGTATCATTAGTCTTTAACGTTTTTTTTTAAATTTAGTATAGGGTATATCTAATGCATCGTACTATGACGTTATGACAATCTTGTCATATTAAAAAATTACATCATAAAGTAATGATAATTGAAAACATTGCAAATTGATCGTGATCAGTTCATTCAATGAACCGGCCTCACAGATATAAACTTTGGTAACTATAATATTATAACCTAATTTAGTATTAGTAGTACTAATAGTCAAAAATTAAACAAAAGTACCATACGCAGGTATCTTATACCCAGAATATCGATTGTTTATTGCTTGTTATTGTCTACCTATTAATAAATAAATAATAACGAAAAAAATACATTTAAAATTTTGACTCATAGCGAAAAAACATAAATAAATTTGCGCTAAATTCGCTCTAATTAGCAATAGCCAACTTTTAACACTTTTAATTGTATTGTTTTAACAATTTACAATAGTTAATTTGATTATCTCCACAAAGATAAAAACTATGATGTCAAATTTGCTATAAATAATCTTAAAAATTCCATTAGAATTTAAAAATTAAAGATTTTCAGGGACAGTAATTTTAATATACCTACTTTTATTGTTTTTAGGACATATAAAGTTAAAAAAAAATATTATAATTTGATATTACCATAGACCATCAGTTTGTGACCTTACATAAAGTAGAAATTAATTATCGAAAAATTATAAGTTATTGTTCGTTTACCTTAAAATGTTAAATCGGTCGCACCTTGTGACATAATAAAGAAAAAAATGTCCAAACGATAGTTCCGGAACAGACAATTATTTTTATAACTGTTGTCTTTAGATATTCCAAAAAAAAACACAAATATAATACCGGTACACTATCAAGACACTATTCTCACTAAAAAATCAAAATATTTAACACTCCGCTGCTGTACCGACCGCTGTTGAACACTAAAAACGATTAAAATCACGACGTAGATTATTTTTCAACGTGATAATAATGAAATTGTACATATTTGAAGCGCTAAATTAACTGGAAGTAAACGAGGTGTCAGACTATTGTTTGTGCTACCTGATAACGTCTAAAGGTGAACTAGAATGATAACATGGTTTGTCCACAAGATTCTTTACACACTGTCTTAACACACCGAAGTATTTTTATGAATTATTATTTATTGCATTTTTTTTCTATTTAAGCGGTGACCTCTCTGAGATATACGCCATTAGCTGAAAATAAAGATGATTTTACAACAATGTGATTATTCATTATAGAGACGTGAAAATGCAAAACAAATATCTAAAAAAAAACGAATAAAGCAATGACAGTGTCAGGATCATAAGCAATATGCTATTAGGTGTAATCGCTTTTATATTTAAAAAGCTTATTCTTTTTTTTCGGAAATAGTGGCTCAACTTTCGTTTAGCTGAAATCTGTTATATAAAAAATGACTATATATGCGTTCTAGAAGGCATTAGGAGTACAAATATACAAAAACTTTCCTGCGGAAATGCGTCATTTTCATTTTTCGGACTTTAGTATAGCCGAAATCTGTTACATTAAAACTAGTCTTCGAGGTGTGTTTTAGACATTTTTCTAAACATAAAAACACAAAAAAGTGCCTGCGGAAATTTTTTATTTTTATTTTACATAAAAAAATGCTTCGACTTTAGAATAGCCGAAATCAATTACATGAAAAATAAACTTATATTTGTTTTACACGAGCCTTTACGAGCAAAGAAATACAAAAAAATTCCTGGGGAAATGTGTCAATGTCATTTTGTGCACTTTGTTTTTCATACATTTTTCAATTTAGAAGCTTACGGGGCCTGGGAGGGAATAGGGGTGCTGGGTGGGGTAAAACATCTTCCGGAGGAATAACAATTCTTGTAGAATAGATAATATAGGTTGTAAACTATAAGTACCTCGACATTTTGCACTTATTCTTGTTTTTTATTAAAGCTTTACGTAAATAAGGCCGATCAGTGGCGGATACAGAGGGGGGGGGGGGGCATGGGGCCCGGGCACCTCCTAAGATCCATAAATTGGGTTAAATATTAGTCTTTTGGGTTAAAATTGGCGCACTAATAAGCATATTCTACATTACTTTTTTATTTGGACCCCCCCCTAAAATAAATTTCGTAATCCGCCCCTGGGGCTGATTCAATACAAAAAATCATTGGATCATGCAGTTTTCTTTTATTAACTGTGATTTTGCAAAAATATTATATTGATTAGCATTTGGGTTGCTTCAGTTAGCTTTTCTTTGTGGAGGGTGTAAAGCTGTGGTTTTTATATTTTAATAATTAACTGTGATTTTGTAAAAATATTATTAGATTGATTAGCATTTTAGACACTTTTAAATGATTTTTTTGGTTCAAAAGTGCTTCATCCAAGGATTTTTTTCTTTTAAACTGTTCTATAAGCATAGGACTTTCTAACAAAAAACTGTGCCAACCTCACCGGCTATTCCGCACATTTCCTTTGGTGTTTTTATGGTGGAAAATATGTCTAAAATTCGACAGAACAACTAGCGTAAATGTAACTGATTTCGTCTTTGAAAGAAAAAGTTTCCGCACAGTTTTTTTGTGTTTTTATAATCGGAAAAATGTTCTATTCGTCTAAAATTTAATACAAACATTGATATATGTAAATGTAACAGATTTCGACTATTCTAAAGTCAGAGCATTTTTTAAAGTCTATTAAATTTCCTCAGAAAATGGATACTGTTTATTTCCGCAGGAAAATTTTTATTTTCCTCAATTCGTGAATGCTTCTAAAAGGCAAAAATATATTTATTTTTTATATAATTGATTTTAGCTATTCTAAATTCTAATAAATTTCCTTAGAAAATGAAAAAGCTTATTTCTACAGGAAAATGTTTGTGTTTATATGTTCAGAAAAATATTAAAAATAAAACGCAAAATGTATTTTTTTATAGCAGATTTCAGTTATACTAAAGTGCGAAATTTGGAAATTACGCATTTCCGCAGACATTTTTTTTTCTTCTAATAACTGATTTCAGCTAAACGAATGTTGACCCGAAATAGTTATTTACACTACGTATATTCAATGAAATATTCCAAGGAACCTTAAATTTAAGCGACAAAAACATATATCGAATATGTAATTTTCAATAAAGTTTTTTATAATTTGAAAGACTTAATGCTTAATTTAATATTAATCTTTAATAATATCTATGTGACTCACCTGGATGTTTGAATTCGTACTTCACAGGATCCAAGTTCTTCTCTTCGCACACCTTCTTCATAATGTCTTCCAACAGAACGTTTCTGCTCACCCTTGTTACGTACAACTGGTTTCGCGGTAGATGTACTTTTAACCTGAATGTACTTTCAAAGGGTTGATGGCCAGGTGCTATGTACTTTGGGGCTGGTAATGTCTTCTCTTTTGGCAACACCTAAAGCAAGTAAAAAATAATTATATTATTTGACTTGTATATAAGATGTTATACAGTGTTAGAAATGTAATCCGCATCATATGGGAGTTTTTTAATGTATTTTTTTATTTCTATTCCAGTTCAAAGTTTACCTACCGAAGTAGCACTGTAATCAATTAGTAAAGAAAAAAACTTTGGTTAAAATAATTAACTGAGACCTTATTTGTAGCTCTGTATATAATTCGAATCAATTGAATTAAATAATAAATGAAATAAATTTAATATAAATTAATAAAATTATTTGTTACATTAATAAGTGTACACATATTTTATTAATTTAATATTAAAATTTTATTAACTACTAAAATTATTTCTACCTTACTCACCTAGTATGTTTATGATTCCATTATTGATAAAACATTTTTTTATAATTTATAGCAGACACAAGCAATATACTCTCCTTTAATTGCACCATTACGCAGGAATATCCAGCGAAGTTTAGAATTACAAATATTTTCTCTATGATAAATTTTAATTCATAAAAACCGAGACTTTACTAAAAATGTCTTATTAAATCTGCTTTTTAAGAAAAATATAATTTTTGTTTTCTTTATGAAAACTATATCTTAATCTACCATTGAGGATAACATAGGGCCCGAAATATTCTCAGAAGAAGTAATTATTGCTGCTACCAACTAAATAAAGAATAGACAAGTACTAGGTGAAGACCAAATAAAAACAGTAAAAGGAATCTTCAATACGATATGCTCAACCACGACAGTTGAGATCTCAATGAAGTGGCTAAAATTGGAATTTATAACAATATCAAAAAAGGCAGGTACAAAGATATGGGTAGACTACAAATCAATAAATTTAAAAACAATAAACTATTTCTAAAAGTTATCTATAGTAGAGTCACAGATTAGGTATCCTATCTGTAGTAGCCTCTAGTACGTATATGTGAGGAACCAAACGCACCTAATCAGTGTGGTTTGGTTGAAAAAAGTTTGGTTTTGTTGAAAGAGTAGTTTGTTTAGCGTACAGTTAAGTTTAGTTTCAAAGATGCAAAGACGTTAACTGCAATGTTTTTGCGTGTCTAATTGACTTAGAAAGGATATTAAGAATGAACAGAAAAGACCTGAGAATAATAGCTAACCTGTACTGCAACAAGTCTTAGGTCCTTAGAGTATAAGAAGAGTATCTTATACCAGTGATAGGCAAGATATTCACACCTATGACATTAAATCTGTATTCGGAGCACATTTCTAGGGTAGTACTAAAATAAAATTCTCTCCAAAAAAATCCTTTATGGGTATTTCGACACTGCACTGCAAGAAAATCTACAAAATAAAATAATTATTTTTTGTAAACACTTCTGCGTTAAACCTATACGGACACTGCTTGTCAGAAGTTATGTCTACAGTTATACAAATTTGCCTAACAAAGAAAATAATGCTTAACGTTTCGGAAAGTTTATCTCTTTCGGTCGTCGGAAGCAAAAAAAATACAAAGAATAAAGAAAAAAAACTATTTAAAATATTTAAATTCAACTATTCGAGAACACTTAACTTTTTTAAAACAGATACGTTCTGTTAAATTAAAATGACATTATATCCAAGTTAAACTTCAAAATTAACAATTACTACCTGATAACAATTACTTAATAAGGTAAAACCAAAAAGCCCCAAACTTATTGTAGATTTTCTTGCAGTGCAGTGGAAAAATACCCATAAAGGATTTTTTTGGGAATCCGCCACATAGGTATAGACATTTTTTAAAATAAAATTGTGCACTCCCTCGGAAAATCATAGAGGTGCTACAAAAATCGGAGAAGATCTATTGGAATATGTAGCGGAATTCAATTAGTTATAGCCACGTTATAACCAATTCACTTAGTTGGCATGAATCTACTACGATTTATAACTTATAAAAAGTCAGAATATTTTAATAAACGGTTCTTTTCAATTTACATAAAATTATTATTTTATGTAATTTATAATTATTTCATTACATAAACAAATTAAATTTATACACTGTAAGTTATTTTAACAAATGTTTAAAAAATCCGCCATGGTCTTGAGTTGATAAAATGGATCTTTTTAAATAGAGTAACAAGATTTTCTTACAAAATGGCAGACAACATTATTAAACTTAAAAAACGGCGCTTTTTGTGAACTCATGGCCCACTATAGTTTCCATTAAGAAAAAATATAACATGTGTCATATGTCAAAAATTACAGGTTTTAGAAAAAAAACGTTATATAATCTCATTAACGATGTGATTATCTATAACTTTTATCTGAAAACTTTTTGTCTAAAATTTTTAAAATAGCCAAATTTTTTTTTTTTTCAAATATCTAGTAAGCCATAAACTTTTTCAAAAATCTGAAAGGCGCATATGTTTGTCCTCACAAAACTGCATCAGTTCTTTTGACCGATTCTCTAGCTCCAGTAGTATCCAAGAAACCCATAGAGAACGTCTTAGAAAACTCACCCTGCATAGTGCATGAGCTTTAAAACTATATTTGTTTTGGTATTGGGACTATCTAAATTTACAAAACTGCAACCAACATCTATATCTGAAGAAACTATTAGATATTCATATATTATATTATTTTTTAATTTGCAATATTTTTGTGAGGATAGGTTAGCCTACATATTCCGTTTAATCTCGAGTAAGAAACCAGTTGATATTAAGTACAAAAATACTATAATGGCTTGCAATTAAAAACAGCTATGGAGGTACCTCGATTATTATCCTAAATCAATTAAAACGAATCTTTATAAACTTCTACTTCAGAAATGCGATAATTGTGTATCACAAATATCAAATATCAATAAATTACTTACCCTAACGTGTTGCGTATCTAAAGCCCCTATAGGTGTGTTTGGTTTAAATGGAAGAACTATGTCGCTATGCTCTAACGATGGAGCCATTCCCAGAGCTTGCAACGTATGGTTGGATAGTTGAAGATGATTGGCGACGGTAATCTGAACCAGTAAGTCCATCATGGGTGTGCTAAAATTAATTAAAGTTATTGACTCGTGCGATTCAGTAAATAAAATTATATTTGCATAATGCAGAGTATATGATAAAGAGGTAACAAAAACAGGAAAAAATATCGACGAATAAGCGTCTAGTTGGCTTGGAAATGAATATCGATGATATTCCCCATATAATTTTTCATCTATAATGACAGCGATCATGATTTCCAAGCTATCCCTAACACCGTTCTTCTTCGATTGTATGGTATACATTTTTATTATAAAACACTTAGTTTTATAATTAGAAGATACAATATTTTCCTTTGAAATTAAATCCGGCTTTAATGTTAATCCTTCAATTTTACTCTTCTCAGAAAATGCAGATTTTGTCTGTTTTGAAGTCGTGTATATGGGAAAAAGTGACATGAAAAGAACTATAGACAAGTTCATATCTTGATTGAGTTGTATAGCTTTCTAATAAAATTAACATAATACTAAAGGTGTACAAATAAAAATAAACTGCAGAAATTACACAATTAGACGCTCTTTATATTGCTTACTTTTACCGCTTACAAATATCTAGTCAAACAATTAACTCTAGATGCTTAAGCAAAAATAAAGTTAGGTCTTATTGTGAATTAGAATACAATAAGAATTATATTTATGATAATTCTTTATTATGATTTTTTGTTATGTACCTGCCAATTTGATTTATACAGGGGTAGATAGGAATGTGCGTTAGAACACGGAAAAAATAAATTGTAATAAATCACACAATTGAAGAAAACACTGCTTCATTTTGTGTTTAAATGGTACTAGGCTTCACGTTGTAATTTTTATTTCTTATCAATTTGTAGATTTCAAAAATTACGGAAGCGCTGGAGGACCAGTATATATTTTTTTTAAATTCAACCGGTTGATTTTAACACTCAAGTGATTGACTTAATACTCAACTAGTTGAGTTTCCTAACTCAACCGGTTGACTTTATAAACGCAACCAGTTGACTTTATAAACTCAACCGGTTGAGTTTCTCAAGCATTTTAAATTATTTCCATAGATTATTTCTATTCCACTCTCATATGTGTAGCGCTTCCGTGCACATGTATACACGCGCTCTCCTCTCGTGAAGTCCTAAAATTAAACGCTTTTTTGTGTAAAAGTCTGTAGTGTATAGTATAGTGTACGGTGAATTGGAAAGATAACATGGAGCAACCACGTTTGAATAACGCCATTAAATACTACTTTTATTTGGGCTTACAAAATCATGAAATACTATTGTTCCTTCTACAACAGAACTTCACTATTAGTTTTACAACGTTGAAACGACGCGCGACGTCTGCGGTATTTGAATTTATATCGGAGAAAAAATTATGCTCCAGTACCAAATATAGTAGATTTTATCAGTGAAAAAGTGCTTTCTTCAAGTAAACTGCATGGATATAAATGGATGCACCGAAAATGTTGACAAGCAGGACTAAATATTAGACAGAATATTGTTCGTAATGTGTTGAATTCTATCGACCCACAAGGCGTCTCAACAAGAAAGAGAAAACGACTCCAAAGAAGGCAGTATTTCAACAAAGGTCCCAACTATTTGCGGCATGTTGATGGTTATGACAAACTGAAGCCTTACTGAATATGTATTAGCGGTTGCATCGATGGATTTGCACGTAAAATTTTATGGCTGAAAGCTGCAAGTACCAACAATAATCCTCGAGATATATCTGGTTACTATATTCAAACAATAATAGATATAAATGGCTCTCCCAGAACTGTAAGAAGCGACATGGACACCGAAAACGTTCATTTAGAATCTATGCAGATTCACTTTCATGAGGTGGCAGATAACGTGCCGCTTGAGCGTACATTGCCACCATTTCTATATGGCACGAGCCACAGTAGTCAAAGAATTGAATCCTGGTGGGCAATTTTAAGAAAACACAATACTCGATTCTGGATAAACGACGTATTCCGGCAAATGACAGATGATGGAATCTTTGATTGTACTTTGATAGACAAATCTGTATCATACGCAGAAGCCGTCACAGCGTTTCACCATCTGGACGTCCCGATATACTTTGCAAGTTCCCAGAACTTGAGGGCTGTCAAAATTACCTTACAGTTGTAAACAACATGCGTATTAAAGACTGCGAGGAGGAATGCTTGTATTTGCAGTCTCCGTGCTCTGATAACGACGTTTTCGATTTATGTGAAGTATTGTCATCTGAAATGCATGTTGACAAACCAACTAATGCGTATGAAGCAATCAATGCCAATATGCATTTGAGAAATGAAATTTTATCTTTGCTCTAAGGTTAGGGATCTAAGGTTTGATTTAAAATATTATAATAAATTAATTTAATTTTATTAATTTTTTAATTAATTTTATTATAATAATTATTATAATAAATTATAATAATTATTATAATAAAGCGAGCACAAGTTAAAATACCTTAAGTTTAGGTTTTGTGACTGCACGTAAACATGCAAACAAAATAAGTTACTACGAATACTGATACGACAATGAACCGCGTGCGGCGAGTGCGCGTGCTGCGCTGCCGGTTTAGATTTTAAAGTCAACCGATTGAGTTTATAAAGTCAACTGGTTGAGTTTGGAAACTGAACCAGTTGAGTATTAAGTCAATCAGTTGAGTGTGAAAATCAACCGGTTGAATTTAAAAAAAATACATATACTGGTCCTCCAGCGCTTCCGTACAAAAATAGTTAAATATATGATTGATTTTATACGAAAATTGTCTGGTGTGGTAATTCTCACGATTTGTGTCAGAGAATATTCAGATTGTACTCGTTAAAATTTAATTGAAAATTATTATTACAAATTTAATTGTAGCACTACTAACTATATTTTTTGACACAATTTGTTGTTACTAACTTAATAATAACTTAGCTAATAAAACAATTATTGTGTGTTATATGTTGACAAAAATCAATGTTGTAGTGTTTTTCGGTGAAACAGTAAGAATAATATACAGGGTGGTCTAAACTGTATTCCGGAAACTTCGGCAGCATATTCTGCAGATAAAAATAAGTAAAAAACTTCGTATAAATGTATGTCCTAAAATGCTTAGTTTCGGAGATACTTTCATTTTTATTTCTATTTTTTCGAAATATTTTCTGAAGTAACATCAATATTTGGATTAAAATTGGTATTTGGGAGTTTTTTGACATGAAAAATTTGATTTTGATGTCAATATGACTGCTACCTGTAGTGTAGGGGGCGCCACATACATGAGTTTTAACTGTTTTAAAGAGTAATAACTTTTCTCGTCCGTACCTGTATAAAACTACTGAGTGAAAAAATGTACATTTACGTAATTTTTAAAAAATGTCCCTTGGTAAAAATCGCTACGAGCAACTGTTCTCAAGATATTTAGAATGAAAACAGTCAATACATGCCATTATTGACAAAAAATAAACATGTTGAGTAGATAGTTATTTGACCGAAATGATAAATTTGGGAACTTTTTATTTCTTTTAATTAATCATAAATTTTTCTTCGAAAAAATGATGATAAAACAGTTTCTGTTGAACATTTGCCACAAAAACATTTAAAAAATGTTTAATTTGTGTCAATGATGACAGGTATTGATAATTTCGATTCCAAATATCTCGACAACCATTACTCGTAGCGATTTTTACCAAGAGATCTTCTTTACGTAAAAAACTTCGTAAATGTATATTTCTTTACTCATTAGTTTTATACAGGTACGGACGAAAAGTTATTACTCTTCAAACGAGTTAAAAATATGTAGGTGACGCCCTCTACAAGTAGGAGTCATATTAATACCAAAATCAAATTTCTTATGTCAAAAATTGTCAAATATTGACGTTGTTTCAGAAATTATTTGAAAAAAATCGAAATAAAAATGAAACTTCTACACCCTGTATCTCCGAAACTAAGCATTTTAGGACATACATTTTTACGGACATTTTTACTTATTTTTCACTGCAGAACATGCTGCCGAAGTTTCTGGAATACAATTCGGACCACCCTGTATATAGCTTTAGAATATCGGTCTATACATTTGTGTCGGGTTCTTCACAAAAAATCTGGGTTTTTCGCTAATAGAAGAAAATCTCAAAAAAATAAAAAGGTATTTTTTGTAAACACCAATCTTTGACACAATGGATTCCAATTTGTCAATGATATTTTACTAAAATCAACTCTTTGTATTTTTTTTTTTTGGTTTCCTATCACTGGAGGTGATATACCTCCTAAAACGTTGAGCGTTATACGTACTCGTAACTATGTAATTTAATCGCTTAATAATAAGTTGCTCTAAACACTTCAGAGAGTTTAGAGAGTCCTTAGTAAAGCTTAGTAAAGTACCCACTAGCACTAACACCAAGAACATGTAGTATCCTCTTCAGCTACTTGAAAGTGTTGATGCTACAGTCATTTTTTCTCAAGAAAGGCGTTCACCAAAGTAAACAACATATCAATTTTATTTTGTATTATATTATAGTTTAATATTTTTTTTGAAAAATATGAAACTAACCTCCTTTCGATTGACATTTTTGTACTTCGTCCATTCGGCAGGTGAACTGTCAAATCCATGGCACCAGCCAACATGTCAGGAGGCGTGTCCTCAGTGATCTGCATCATAGTCACTGTCCCTGCCCGAGACCTGAAAAACAAATTAAAAATTTAATAAAACAGTAGTAATTAAATTATCTAAAAGTAGTATCAGCAATATTTATGGCGCCATTCTATTTTTTACTAAAATTTTACGAATTAATTCATCAGCATTTCTCTGAATCAACATGATTTATAAAAATATGCAATTGATCACTGATTAAATTATTGTTGTTCAAAAATATAATTTTAGTAATTTATATTTTTATTTTGATGCTTTATCTTGATGTAAAAACCTTTATGAAGTATATTAAAATAATTTTATATAAAAACTATATAAATATTTTTTTGAAGCCAAAATTCACGGGATTGAAATTTTTTTAATTACTAATATCGCTATTAAAAAATAGGGGTTGACGGTAGAAGGGCGAAAATTTGGGGTCGTTGTAAGTATTTTTAATGCTACATCATAAGAAAATTACAATAAAAAATGTTGTCAAAAAAATTGGGCTGGACCATCCTCATAATTTTATGTTGTAAAAAATAGATAACAACCTATTCCCAGACTTACTGAATATAATAATGATAATAATAATAGCTCCCGTATATAGCGTTTAACGCCTTGGGAGTAGCAAGGTACAGCTTGCCATACTAGAGCCGTTCGGTATACAAGAAAGGTAATGGGGGCTAGCACTACGCTTTAACCGCCTATTATTACCTCAGGATTGTAAATTCCAAGTACTCACTGAAGGCTGAGTCGACCTAGGTACCCAAACTATTTTTATTTTAATAAAAATAGTCGGCTGATGCAATGCCAGTTATAGGATTCGAACCCACAACCTTGAGATTGGTAGACGAGAGCCTGTACCTCTACGCCACCGGGCACCGCTTATTGAATATACATATGAAATTTCATACTGCATATGAAATTTCATCAATATCGGTCAAGCCGTTTCGAACAACTATGACCATTGCCTGGAAACTTATAGAACACCTGACGCAGATATGCATATGTTCTTTCAGAAATTACTGAGTTTGCTAGAGTCCCTGCCTGTGAATAGCAGGTTGATCTTGTGTGGTGACCTTAATATTGACTTCTCCAGTGTGTGTGATGCTCGGGAATCTCTCCAGTCTATCTTCGAGACTTTTGGTGTAGTAATGCATATTGGCGAGTAATCAATTTACGTATACAGGGTCGGGTATAAAGTCGTGGCACATCAAAATTTCATTTTGTTAAATGAAACCCCTTGTATATTCTTACATATTTCGATTCTTCCTTCAGTTCTAAACAAAAATTGAGATACACACAACGTACCTCAAATCAACCGTTTCCGAGTTATTGTCTTTTGAAAATATCACTTAAGTATACAATTCAATTTAATTAATTTCGATATGTTCGGTTTCATTTAACGATGCCATTCGGCGGAAACTGTGATACTTAATAATATTTGAATATACATATGAAAGTTAGCATTTATAGATGTATAAAATGAGATTATATCAAGTCTGGAAATTAAAAAAAAAATGGTTTAACATCTCAAATCTAAAACTCGATATCTCGGAAACGGTTGGATTTAGGTACATTATGTGTATGACAATTTTTGTTTAAAATTGAAAGACAAATTGAAATAGCCAATAATATACAGGAAATTCCATTTAAAAAAAATCTTTGAGGTGCCACGACTTAATGACCGACCCTGTATACTTAAGGCATTTAAAAACCCTATAACTTTTGTATTTAACTTTTTGCGGTACCCCGTATACTTTGGCCAATAATTGACCGTTTTCATACATATCATCGACCCTGTATTAGAAGAAGAAGATTATAGTTCTCGTCTCACATACACACAGATCTTCCCCTGCTTTAATTAAATTAACAATTGCATCTACTTATCACCTTATTTATTTAACTAGTCATGTCTAAAATTACACATACTTCAAGTATGATGAGCCAATAATATAATATATGAATTCATGTAATCAGTACAGTGAAAGTAGTAATAAAAGTTTTCATGTTATCTTATTAATACACATCAATTTTATCGATAAAATATTTGGTAATTTTGGGTATCGAATATTTTTATATTTTAATCAAATTTTGGCGGTTTCGTAGGACGATTCAATTATGGAGCTTATTTTTTATGGTATTTAACCAACCAGAGAGAGGTGCATAATGAGATCAAACTAATGAAATGGATACGGATTTGTCACACATTAAGGCGAATAGGCAGCAACAGTCGCAGAGCTATTGATCATGCAAGACACACGTGGAGTTAAAAAGGACAATTAAAAAAAAATCGAAACAGTAAACCGATCATGGCGAAATGTTATATCAATTTGAAACAACCGAAACTCGAAAGCATTTACTAAAGCTATATGCTCCGCATAGATAAAATTCACAGATTTTGCAACATGCGCAACCATCATAGGCGTATTGAAAATACCAGACACAAGTCGGCGGTTGTCGGCAATCACCTGTTTTTTTTACATTTTATATTAACTTGTGACGTCATTTGGAAGAGCTCAATAGAAATATAAAAGAACTAAACCTTGTTTTTAAAGCACTTTGATATTTGTGACGTCAGCACTCCGGCAGTCTAGCGTAAACGTATCGCTAATCGCCATTCACAAATATATTCCAGATACGTATAATGAACAAGCAAACCGTTCGCAACGCAATTTGATTTTTATCGTGATGGCTTTTTTGTAAAAGTGAAGAATTTAATTAGGAAAATATTAATGATGGAGATGAACGTGTGCGGATTCGTGAATGGTCACGATCACGGTCACGACACTATGACGTGAGTAGGAGCCCGAATTATGCAAAAAAGGGGGTCAGTTTAGATTAAGTTTAGATTAGGTCTATATTTTTATTAATGCAAAACCAACTAAAACCAAATTCTAATCTAACCTAAACTCACTCCCTCTTTTGCATATTTCGGGCTCTTACCTGGGTATTCCTAGGTTTAACCAATATTTGAACTTATGATGTAATTTATGGATGGCCCATAAAATTTAAGTTCGCCGTACAAAAAAATTACTTTTCACCAATTTTCACAAAAAAAATTAAAAGTTATATATCATATTTTTTATAGAAATGATGGAATAAGGGTGAACAGGGTGCCGGTAGACCAAGAAGATCCTTGGAATGTAAATGTTAATTTATACTCGAATTGAGTTGCCTCACAGTATAGGCATATTTTGAACCCCTATCGTGCATATTTACTGTAGATAAAAATAAATTAAAATATAGTTGGCTTCAACGATAATTTAGTTTGCAGCTTCTTTTCATCATACCTAATAAAAAACCATTACAACCACTACTCATAGTATGTACCTATGTATTCTTAAACATCATTATGAGATTTAAGATACATAGGTGCCCATAATATGAGTAGCGGTATTGACGGTTTCATCATCATTTTTTTTTGTTATGAAGAAAATAAGCAGCAAAATATATTATCGATTGCAGCAACTATACCTATTATAGGGAAATTAAAATAACTTTGGTTGCACATCATAATACGACCACCAGCAAACTCCATTAGACGACGCAAGGTGTCATTGATGACGTGCACCCAAAGTTGTTTTAATTTCCCTACACTTAGTTTACAAAGTTTACATTCAGTATGTCCAATTAATATAGAACATTTGCAACAACAACTATGCATATTCTTAAAAATTTCCTACCATTATATTTTGATAGTTGAGTTTTTGAAATTATTTGTTAGCTTCTTAAACAAAACAGACCCATAATAATTCAAATCTTTATCATTCAAAACTTCCAAGAATTATGAAGTAATCTCACGTCAAATTTTTTTTTAAATTATTGCATGCCTTAAGTATTTGCAAAGTTAACAAAAATATATCTTTGCATACCTTGCAATAAATATATTTGGTCCAATTTATCAGTTCTATATCATATCCGAAATTCAGATTGTGTATACACAATAAAGAGTAAAGTAAGTATGACACAATAAGAAGTTACAACGTGAACAACAAAAAAATGGCAAGTAAAAAAAAAATTGAAACGTCTTAATTACTAATTACAGAGTCCTTCCCTTGAGTTCTCCTGCCTAAAATCTATATATGATCTTCTCTAAAAATTTTAAATATAAATGATTAAACTCATACAAGTTTACTAATTTTAAACTTAAGATAATTATTTAATTATTAAATCCATAATTATATTAAAATATAACACTTACGAAGTTAATAAATATTAACTATTTCTACTTAATCATTTAATAATTCTGATAAAAACACGCTTGATTTTGTATTTTAGATATCATACGGGCTATAATCATTAATATGACTATATTAACAATACTTAAATAAAAATTTATTTGAAGGAATGCTACTGTATTACAATAATTGTAAAACAACTTATGTAATAATAACTCGGAATAATTATTAAAAACTGCTCATCGCGTTATCGATGTCGGCGTCTTGTCACTTTTATTTAGTCTTGTCACTATTATTTTATTAACCGTTTAGGTATAGTGTGATTTCAGATAATGCAGATTTTAATGTGCCATTTGTGGTTTTTTTATTGGAGTTTTTTTGCATATTTGCATATTTGGTATATTCTATGAAGGGATTTTAAGTGCTCCTGTCCATTTTTCAATTATTAAAGTGCCTATTTAGATACATTTAAAATTAATTAATTAGTGTATAGTATTTGTGTTATGAGTTTTTTTATTTTTTATGAAATGTATTTTTTCCCATTAAAATAAGCATAGCTTACTAAATTACTAGCTAGCCATTTTTAAATACAGGGTGTTAATTAAGTATCTGGCCAAACTTTAGGAGGTGATTGTTTGAGTGTTTTTAAGGTAAAAAGTTTATATAAACATGTGTCCGGAAATGTATAATTTTAAAGATACAGGGTGTCGAGGTGTTTTCTAATAGACCTTTTTTTTATTAATATCTCAAAGATCCGTTGGCCGATTTTGTTGACATTTCGCCGCGTTGTGAACTTTGATAAGTTAGCACTAATTAAATGATAATTATTATTTACAACAATATTCAAACAATAAAAACTTATCCCAA